CAACAAAGATTTTGCGCTCGATCTTTTCAATTCAATTTTATGGAAAAACGAGCAGAAATGCATATGATTTTTTTTGGACCTCTTGATAGATATATGTCTATGGATTCAGGAAAGGTATCACTGTAATTGATTGAAATTTTCCTTTGGACCAAATTTTGGAGACTTTTGTGACATGTTCACCCCCCTTTTATGCAATATTTTGTATCAAAGAAATGCAGATTGTTGCCATGGTTACACCCAAAAGAGATTATATTTCACCATTATAACCATTAGAAATCAAATCTATGGAAGATTCTCTTTCTATAAATATACACATGCATAACACAAATATTAAGCCTTATTTGTTAGAAAGGAAGGGAAAGAGGATGTTTAAAAATTATGAGTGTCAATTTTAAGTTTTTTTCCTAACTGTGTATTGCTACCTTAACGTATTTTCCATACAAACTACACATTCGGTACTCATCGGCATATCCCTACGGCAAAGTTCCAAACCAGTCTGAGACCTCGCTCATTTCAAAGGTATTGACCCAGACTATTCCCTGCTTAAATATTTTTCTGGGATATGGGCCCGTCTAGCCACCACAGGGGTTCAAATTTGCCCCTTAACGTACTTTTCATATCAACTACACATTCTTTCGGTACTCCTCGGCAAGTCGGATTTTCTTAAAAAGCGATCGCCAGAGCGTTTTAGACAAAGTCGACCCTTTAAACTGAATACTAGTATTACAGATTTTTTCATCAAAGTCAAGGACGATTCTTCGCAAAATCATGCCAATTTTCGTTGTTAGAATAAAGGACACAGAAGGAGAAGTGTTGCCTTCAACTGAAATATCGTTTGCCGGCGGAACAAAACTATCCATACCTGCTGCATTTTTATGCACGTGTCCTAAGTCAGGAGCCTGTTGTTCAGTAGTTGTTGTTTGTTGGTGTGGCTTATATGTGTTTCTCCTTTTGTATATAGATTAGACCGTTGGTTTTCCTGTTTGAATTGTTTTACACTAGTCATTTTGGGGCCATTTATAGCTTGCTGTTCGGTGTGACCCAAGGCTCCGTGTTTAAAACCGTACTTTGACCTATAATTGTTAACTTTAAATACATTGTGACTTGGATTGAGAGTTGTCTCATTGGCACACATACCACATCTTATTTATATACAAAGTGCCAAAAAGACAAAGAACAAAAATGAGAACACCAAAGCAACGGAGATACAGACAACCAACATATTACACAAAAACTAAAAAGTACACACATCAACGAACAGCACGAACACATAACAACTGGGGTGAACTCCTGTGTTCCGGAAGGATGAGCAGTTCCTGCTTCATACAAGACACCCGCTGTTTGCTAGTTATAAGACATCTATGACAATTCAATGGAGATCATTTTAGGCGTTGAGTTAATTATTCAATTATTCAGTTCAAGATCTGAAGTCCTCAGAAAGTAACAGTAATACAAGAAGTCATAAATATGCTGCAATTATAGTTGGCATTACATGTAAAAAAATAAAAACACTTCTGAAGTTGATAAATTAAAGAAATGTCAAAGTACAAGTGTTAAATCAAGTTTCATACCATTTTAATAATTGTTTTGACCAATATTGTCAAAACCTATGATTTGATGTTCACAAAAAAAATTATAATCGCTCGCCTTCACTTTTCAAGCTTCGCCTAAAAAATTTTCAAATTAATCTTTTTTTATTAAAATTTTCAAATCGCTCGCTCGCCCCAATTTCTGAAGTGGAAAAATCTGTAGAACAAGAAATTAAATTGGTGTGGCCTAAATTGTACATTTTTTTATTAAACGAACAGGGTCCTGCAAAAAAAGTGGCTGCTATCATCATTGGTAGTTAAAACGGACTGCCATCTTTTGAGAATCACGACAAGCCGTTAAAATGTCGAATTCCGCCGTCAAATTATATTAACTAAGATTTTGAGATTTTTGGAACGTTTGAGTCTTATACAGTTTTTTGGTTTTTAGATCTAGACATATCATGAAAATTGGCTGCTGGAAAAAAGTGGTTGCTAGCTTGATTGGCTGCTAAAAGTGAAAATGCAGCGTATTTCTAAACATATGATAATATTATAATGGAAATTATGTTAGAATTCGGTTAATTATAAGTAATTATCGTCCAAATGAAAAGGAGACATTCTAAACCAAAATTGAAATCATTTCGAAAGCGATGCTCTGTTTTGTCTTTCAGATACATATACTTTAACTGAATCATATTCTTTTGATTCGAAATTTCACGAAAACATGTTAAATTTGCAATATTGATCACACTTGTGACATATTTTGAAGAATTATATTAACTAGAGCCCATTTTGTAAAACAAACTCTATGAGAATCTTGATCTCCTTTTACTATCTAATATATAGTCAATATTCATAAAATTTGTACTTTAACTTCGCTGTTCACATAATAATATTTAAAACAAATCTTCGTTGTTTGAAATTGAATTTCTTTCCAAACATAGAAATTCTTATTAACTAAATCGAATTTTAATTGTAGATATTTGCACAACGCATTGTTTTCGACTTACCACTTTTAAATTACTTGTCTACGTCAAAATAAAAAAAAAATAACTACCATCATATGTATATTAATGTTCATTTAAAGCATACAACTAGCAAAACAGCAAATAAATAGGAATTGAAATGTCCATAACCTGTGAAAACATCGTCAATTCGGCCTAACGTCTTTTGACGTTGCTTTCAGAATTGGCGCAATGTATTCCCGCCAATTCAAATGTTTAACGTCTTTTCAAAAATATCTCTTTTTCCAGTATGATGACCCTACGGTTTTATTTCCTCACTTTGTTTAATAACAAGCAATGCATATTCTATTGACTTTTCATTGGTTATTTTTTTTTTATATTTGATTTTTTTAGATAAAAAAGGCGGGAAAAATTATGTTAGCAACTTATCTTTATCATTTGTCCCTCGGAAGATGATAATATCAATAATATGAATATAATTTCTGCTAACATCAAGGTTAACAAAATAAAAAAAAATATGTGATACAGACTTTTTGTAAAATGTTTCACTCCTAATAACTAAAAGTCCCGATTTCCAAATTCCATAAAAAAGATGCCGCTTTAAATCGAAAACGAGGTCGGTGACCCCATTTTTTTATTGGCTAATTTTAAAGCTTTTACCTAGCCTGAACTGAAAATAAAATTTTAAGGAAGAAATTATTGGTAGATCTGAATGGAAAGATTTGTCTTTAATTGAAACCGCTTATAATAAGTCAATGATATTTGGTATGCAGTTTTATAAGCATTTGCATTTTTCATTTCCATGGAGAATTTTTACCCTGCACCTTCAGTCACAGCAGCTATAGAATGAATTAATGGGAGCAAACTTGGTTTCTGCGTTAAAATTATGTATTTTCTTTATTCTTTTCCTTGCAAACGTTGTGTTAAAGAACATCCTGAAAAGTGCACTAGAATGCTCAGAATGCAGGATTATGTACCATGCTACAGCTTTTAGAGGCGCCCAAATTTTGGTTTAAGCATTACTGCAGATATGCTTAGTGTAAGCTTTTAGAAAATAAAATCTCTGAACACACTGGGCCAGAACTTGAACAGTTATGAACCATACTGGCACTACTGCTTGAAAGTAATAGGTTGAACCAGGTAAAGCAACGCTACAAATCGAGCACTTGTATTACAGTCAATATAGGTATAATATAAAATCAACAACCGGACATGACCAGTGGCGTAGCCAGGCAAACAAAGAAGTGAAACGTAATAGACAGGGGTCTGGTGGAAGCTGAATCATGGTGCAAAATCCTGCATCTTGAGCATTCTAGAGCACTTTTCAGGATGTTCTTTAATGCAAGGAAAAGGATAAGAAAATACATAATTGTGTGTCTTTTGTGTATTTGTAAGGGTTTTTTTTTTGTGCTTTGTATCGATCTGATGAGTTTTGACATTGTTTGATAGTTTGTTCTAGTTTTGCATTTTTAAACCACTGGGTCAGGTTATGGTGAATGTTTAGCGCCAGCAAACATGTTAAACTCCACTACATTCTGTATGTGCCTGTTTAAAGCCAGTAGCCTGTATTTCAGTGGTTGTCGTTTGTTGCTGTGTATCATATTTGTTTTTCTCATTTTTGAAGGTCGTACGGTGATCTATAGTTATTTACGTCATCTTGTCTCTGGTAGATAATTTTCACGTTGGCAATCATACCACATCTTCTTAATTTTATATGATATATATGTTCATGAAAGAACGATCCACCAAAGCATAAGATATTATACAATCTTACACAGAGAGGTTAATAATAAACTGGCATTAAATTTCATCAATCATTAACCAACTCACATATTGGTGTAATACTTCTTGGAAATATAATTAATTTATGCGAGTGAACCAATATAATCCGCTTTTCGGCCTGACTTATGGAGTACTTTGTATTAGGACACTTAGTTTGGAACGCAAAATTCTAAATCATTAAACATTGTGTACAAAAGGGTATACTTGTGCTTGAGGTAAAAACAAAAAAATGGAAATTGACAGCATTCTCTGGGCTTGATAAAAAAAGTTTGGTTGTATTGAGAACTCATTGCGCGTCGTGGGAGTTGAAACTGCATGACTGTATATATTGACCAGTACTCAAGGATTACATACGTTCAACATCTTATCGGGTTAAACATACCGTTCAATATTGCATTTCTGAAATGATCAATTAACTAGACGAAAAATAAAACTGAAATAGAGTATATGTAATTATATTTGATGATGAAGTCACACACAAATAAGTGTGTTTTTTTTTTTATTTATTTAAAAGTATCTATAGCTAGTCTTTTGTCTTTCTTGAGAGCGTTGCAGTCAATGATTTTTTTTCTATATTCAATCACACATCTCCTTGTATGTATGCAAATTACAATATCCATGCAAAAGTTCCGTTGTTCTAATGATATATTCATTCTCTTAAATAATCAAAAACAAGTTGCTTTAAAAAAAAAAAGACAATACGTGAACCTTAGAACTTTTTTATTCTAATTATTAATTCAACTGAATAAGAAATTATATATCAGTGTTTTGCATGGTCTTGTGTATGGAAGATAACATTTTCTTTTTATTGTAAATCATTACAATTTTGGCATGTTGAGAGAAGTGTCTAACATAACGCAATGAGGAAAAAAATAATAGATTCCCAGACGTATAATTTCTTAGAGAATAATAATGATTCAAGACATGGGGGACACATTTACCTTCTTCCAAAAATTCATAAAATTAATCTAGAAATAAGTAATGAGGCATTGTGAACTGGTCAGCTAGCAGGACACATTAATGTTCGTTACCGACCAATCATCAATAAATGCAACTCTCCCGCGAGAGATACTTACTTGATCTTATTATAAAACCATTATTGAAGAGGCATAGCTTTTACATTCAAGATAAAAAGATTCCATTAATAAAATAGAGTCACATGAGGTAAAAAAAAGAATGCATTCTTATTGCCTATGATGTACGTTAAGGTACACAAATATGATCATTGATAATTAAGAAGAAACTGTTATCAATGCATTTGAATTAATTGACACACAGGAGAATACACTTTAAAGATTCTCAACAAAATAGATTTAATTGCATTTGTTAAATTAATTCTTAGAAACAATGAATTTGAGTTTAATGGACTGTTATACAAACACATTATAGGAGCGCCCATGGATGGTATATTTTCACCAACATGCACAGATCTGCATCTGTCTGTCCTATTCATTAAAATCTTAGATAAGTTCCAATGGAGAAAAACATCAAATCACACTGACAATAGGGATGACGGTTTTATGGTCTTCACAGGCAAATTAGAGCAAGTTGAAGATTTCTTTAACCTAGCAAACGAAATTGACCGTCTAATTTAGTTCTAATATGAGGTGTCGACATCTAGTATGACCTATTTAGAGGGTGGTAAAGGGTTATTTTCGTGCATCGTTTTCGGCCTTTTTATTTCACGTGATTTCGTGTTTCGACGTTTTATTTCTCGTTTTCTCGTGTTTGGTTCGACGTGCGTGCTTCGTTAATTTGTGTTTTCCCTTAATTATTTTCCGTGTTTCCTGTCGGTATTCTCATTTTCTCGTGCTTGTCCCGCATTTGATTAAAAAGTAAACCAACTAATTCAAAGTCAGCCCAGATATTGTTTTAAATTATAAACTTATTAACTGGTCCCAAGATATTTATTAATAGCCTATTGTATTACTATGATAAATCGTCTGCAACTAGAGGACGCTAAAAAGTGACCACATGCAGGGTCGCTATATCAATTTATAATGACTGCATGATCTTCAAGAACGGCCGAGTAATAACTTTTGGTACTTTTTTCCTAAATATTTACGATTTTATTCCTTTGCTTCGTTTTTCCAGAGTGTTTTTTTTTTTTCGTGCAAAGTTTGTGTGATTTGTTATTTCACGTGTTTCCGTGTTCAGACCCACCTTTTTTTAGATACCGAAGTGAACAAAGGTGATCAATTCCATAATAATGGAAATCTTGATGTTAAGTCACGTATATTAAAACACAGAAACGTATCAATATTTACCAATCACTAGTGCACATCCAAAACACACATAAATTTAAGAGTATTAATTTACAGTGTGTGAATAATATAAGAAATAAAAGTGACATCAATGAATTAAATAAACATTTAATTAGCTTACAAGATAACTTAATTGATAGAGAATACAGTAAAAGTTGTAAAAAATGTATATTAACGAATAGTCTTTTAATATTTTACTTATTTTATTTTCATTTGAAACAGATTTTTTTTTATCTGATTTGTCAAAATGACAAGTATGCATAATGATTTTATTGTTACAAATCAAATCCAAAAGCCCACTTAGGGGTTCACGCAACAAACAAGAGAAGATTTAATCTTTAATAAGATAATGATAGCACCAAGAAAAGTGTCATAATATACTTGATATCAGATAATAAATGTTTTCTATTTTGGTGAACAAGTCTTTTTATATGCAAACACTTTAACTTCCGCTAAGTGGAAGTAGCTCCTGGTTCTTAGGGCAAGCTTGACCACCCGTCCTTTTATAGGTTTACGGCACTTCAGTATAATATGACTCCCATTTCTAGCCGGGCCTCTGTAATAAGCGCACCGCGTCATTCTTCTTAAAGTTGGACCAACACTAACAGTCATTACATGAAGTCTATTACCTAAAATGAAAATGAAAATTTTTAACACTGTGACCAGTTCCTGCATTGAGAAGGAATTCGTGCAAATCAGAAAAATGTTCAGAATATCACTATACTATGCTTGGTATTCCAACAAAACATGCAAGATTTTTCAGTTCAACAATTTTGACATGTATCACTTTCAATTTCATGCGGATTATGGTAGTAGTTTGTTCTTGCAAGAAGCGACGAAAGACCCAAAATTCACATACGTTTGTTAAATATGGCTACTTCGGACAAATGGAGAACGAAAAGAATGATCCTTTCAATTGACATGGACAAGGCGGGTTGGATTGTATGGACAGGTAATTTTGCGCTAAAATAACAAAAGTTTCAAAAAAATATAAAAATGAAAACTATAATCTTAAGGTAAAAGCTGGAGAAATAAAAATATTAATATACAACAGTTAGAAAAATAAGGATTGAGCATCTATAACACCTCAAAAACCAGAGACGGAATATATGTTCCTTAGCCGTTTATAATCCACTAGTGACGCCCATCATGTAAGTCTTGTCGTAAACTAGCCATTTGGTGAGTCAAAATCCTGTGTGATTAGACGTCATGAAACAGACGATAGCGTAAGTTTTCCTGTCTAGCCCAAGCTAAGACACAACCAAATTCATTAACCATAGGTACAAATAAATTTTAAGTATCTCTGAAATTTGACCGAGCGCTTACAAAGATGTTGCAGAACTGAGGTATTTAAATACGTGCGATACAGTTATAATGGGTATCTTTTTTTCTAACCCGATGACTCGATCAATGTATTGATTAAATCAAAAAGTGGTATTTTGCCATGTGTACTAGATTTCTACTTTATGCTTAATTTATATACAAAGCATTGAATTACTGAAGATGATATTTAAAAATATAAAGCAGAACAAAATGTATGTAACTTCGAGATTCGAGTGTACCTTACTACTTTCGAGTGCACTTTAACTACTAAAGAATACCCCTAAACTTGTGTAGTTAAAAATGTCTGCCGTTTTCCTTATATATTATTACATTAAGGATGTTCGCTCCTCTTGTTTTTGAATTTTTGCCAGATATTCGGAATCATCTGGTTTAATCCATGTTGTGCCATTAAAAATGTTTGCCCACTAACCCCTACTTTTCTTTCCATAATTTGATTACAAATAGTTTAAATGTCATCTTTGAAAATCTTATAAAACCTTGTTAATTTTTTCCTCCTTTTTGAAAGAAAAAAAGGCGCCAATGTTAAGTGTATAAAAAGTCTAGAGAGAATTATTTCCCGCCAATTTTTCAATGGCTTATATCTCAAAAACAAGCACACGGACCCTTCATTTTGTTTCTGCTTTTTTAGTTTCTTTATTTATATACTATCAATTTATCACAGTCTTTTAAAAAGCTTGTTATTTAGAAACAGAGTAGCGAACATCCTTAAGTAAGATTGTAGAGAACAAGTCATTTAATTAGGCATTTTCACAAGACAAATCTTGGCGAAATGTTAAATTATCCTACTTGGCTATTTATAATTCATGCAGGCATGCAAACTTGGATAATTTCATATCATGCAATGCGCTACGGTACATCTTTATGTTCATTACTTTAACAATGCCCGGGTATGTTAATTTGCTTACTTATCCATATATAGTTACTGTACTTTGTCTGACGGAATTCAGAAGAAAAAAATTGATTAGCTTTCTTATCCATATACAGTTACTATACTTTGTCTAACGGAATTCAGAAGAAAAAAAAATGATATGCTTCTTTATCCCTAAATGGTTCCTGTACTTTGTACTTTGACGGAATTCAGAAAAAAAAATCGTTTTAAAATTTATTAAATACAATTTGTCACGTCAAACTACTGATTTTGGTAGGTCATATCATTTTAGATCTTAACGAAAACGGCTTATCTCAAGGCTACATGGCTGCTACAAGCGAATTATTATTTCACTATTTCACTTTCATTAATGATTGAACCAAAAAAAAGTCATATTTTATTTTATTATTATATCGCGTAGCTAGTGCCCCTATAAAATTTTCTGTTAAAGATTAGTCTGATGAAGAAAAGGTGATTTTGATACTCAATCCATCAACAACATCCCAAATAAATAAGTTGGGGTCCTATAAATCAGTCATTAGAAATGAGGACAGGGGACTCTGGACTATTTACTTTTATTCTACTGATGTTTTTACGATATGCAGATATGTGGACATCAGGCATGGTCGCTCTTTTTCATGGCGTCACAATATAATTTTCAGAGGAATGGAAGAAAATTTGACGTCAAAATCGAATTTTGACTAATGACAAACTGAGATCAAACGCGGAACCACACGTGATTATACGGAAGCCCAGAGGGGACCTACAAAAAATAATATCATATCGTTATCTCAATATATATATCGTTATTTCGATATAATTAAATCGTTATCTCGATATATTTATCTCAGAGGGGACCTACAAAAAATTAATATTATATCGTTATCTCAATATATATATCGTTATTTCGATATAATTAAATCGTTATCTCGATATATTTATCTCATTATCTCGATATTTATATCGTTATATCGATATATTTATTTCGTTATCTCGATATAATTATATCGTTATCTCGATATTTATATCGTTATTTCGATATTTATATTGTTATATCGATATAAATATATCGTTATCTCCATATATTTATTTCGTTATCTCTATATAATTATATCGTTATCTAGATATAATTAAATCTTTATCTCGATATATAGTTAAGGTGGGGTGGGGTTATTGCACCTTTTTTGCAAATAACTCAAAAACTGATACATATATCAAAATTCTAGCAGAGGGTAAAATTGATTAGTACATAATGATCTGTATCTGCCAAATTTTAAGTTTAGGTTGATCGGAAAACTTATTAAAGAGCTATGGGTCTATATTTGCAACTTTTTCAAATCTTCATATTAGTTTTGACAATATCTCGAAAGTCGTAAAAGCTAGAGCCTTTTTTAGTTTTTCATCAATATTCCAAAGTATTTCCTGTTTACAGAAATGTCATTTATCCAGGAGCAATAGAAAGCTATCAAAGTCCACTTCAATCTTTATTTAACATTGAGTTTAAGAAATACACAGTTCGCTATGCATAATGATAAGCGCATATAATATCAAAAAAATATAAATGCATGATAATTATATAAAGGCTTTAATTGGTAGAAGATATGGAAATATAGAAAGTAATTTTGAAAATTTAGGCGAAATGTATGTCTTACTCTAAAAGAAGTATATAAATATATGCAGTGTTGTATATATATGTATATTTATTATATACTTAGTAGTAAATACAGATAAATTGTATGTGTAATACAATCATTGGCAAGCGTGCTGTATCAGCCACATTGATGATATCGATATCAGCACGGTTGCAAAGGCTTTATCACACCTTTAATCTATATGACGTCACGTCATCGATTGCAGTCACTGTTGGAAAGGCTTTATCAAACCCCTAATCTTTATGACGTCATGTCAAACCTCTATTCTGTATGACGTCATTTCAACCCCCCTTATCTGTATGACGTCATGTCACATTAAACACATCTACGTGAGGTATATGTATATAATAAAGTGTAGATGATATAGCTTTTACAATATCACACACCGTATCAACCCTCAACCAGAGCTCTTGGGATTATATTGCTGTCTCGGGTTGATACGGATGTGATATTGAAAAAGCCAAATGATATTCTCTATATATTTTAAAATACGTCTAAACATCAGCCCAACAATGTTAGGTCTGTAAATTTGCTCTCGCAAATTGTTTGTTCTTCCCTCGCCGGGATTCGAGCTCCTGATATATCGTGGCACCAAATCGCCTTGCACTATGCCCAACGCGCTAGACCACTCGACCACCTAGGCTCTACAATAATAAAGCTTTCGGTGGCCGGATGTTACTTTTCCTCGTCGTATATTTTAAAATATATATATACATATACAACACTGCATATATTTATATGCTTCTTATCGAGTAAGAAATACATTTCGCCTAAATTATCAAAATTACTGTTTCTTATTTGTTTTTATCGATTAAATCAAATCCATTCAATTCAAATTTTAGATTAAAAGCTAAAGCCTTAGTTTAAATTGGATATTGTTCAGATCATTAAGAGCTACAATAAAGTCTTGTGGGCAAAACTTTCAGATTTTGCTTCTCTTAAAATACCCAAATTTGCAGATTTTCGCATATTTTTGCTTATTTATTGAAAACTATAGGCCCCAGGTTTGCTTGAACATTTTTTCTTTTTTATAATATACACAAGGTCAGTAACTCGATAAATCAAGAATATGGTCTTCGTTTTCTCGTTGTATTTTATTTATGTATAATTAAATTGAGAATGGAAACGGGGAATGTGTCAAAGAGACAACAACTCGACCAAAGAGCAGAAAACAACTGAAGGCCACCAATGTGTCTTCAATACAGCGAGAAAACCCCGCACCCGGAGGAGTGCTTCAGCTGGCCACTTAACAAAAAAGTATACTAGTTCAGTGATAATGGACGTCAAACTAAACTCCGAAATGTATAATAGAAACTTAAATTAAAAATCATACAAGACTAGCAAAGGCCAGAGGCTCCTGTATTGGGACAGGCGCAAACATGCGGCGGGGTTAAACGATGTTTTGTGGGTTCTCAATCCTCCCCCTTTACCTTTAGTCAATGTAGAAAAAACAAACACACAGCAATACGTACAGTAAAACACAGTTTAAAAGAAGTCCGAGTCCGATGTCAGAATAGGTAACAAAAGAAACTAAACAAAATGACAATGATACATAAACTAAAAAAGGAATACTAGCAGTTACTGACATGCCAGCTCCAGACCTCAATTAAATTGTCTGAATCAACATCTTAAAATTTTCAAAGGTATGTTCCATTTTCTTTAAAACGAGCCATAAACCGACATTTTACATGTAATAACAAAAAAGTTATGCTATGAAACATCTCATAATTTGAATCTATTTACCGAGGTCGGATAACTATCGGTCAGCACCGGCTAACACCACTGGGGGATTAATCGAACATTCTTCATTTCGCGCGCTTCAGATGGATGACAAACCTTGAAAGACATTAAACAGGCTTATTTTTTTTGAGCTGGCAGTTTGATCCGCTTGCTTGATATGTCAATTTCTGTTTACATTGATTGATGTTTGCTTAAAGTCCAGTCGCAAATATTTCATGCATAATCAGGACGAAAAGAAGAAAGCAACAGACCAGGAAAGCCGATTGAATTGCCGGTGCAAAAATGTAATGTCGTTAAAGTTTTGTATCAATCTGTAGCTGACGCGAATGCGTAGAACTGTCGATTTTCAATATAGGTCCCAGACACGCTTGAAATAGTATATATATCTGTAATATACAAGAGGTCGGACAACTATCGGGGAGTGTTTGCTAAATCACTGGAGGATCAACTGACAGTTACAGTAACTCCTAACGACAAAACCATTATATTTATATTTTCCTGTGTACATTTTTTTTATTACAATAACGCCAATTTGTCCCAGGAAAAAGTTGTCTTATTAATTCTCTTACTACATCTCATTTATTACGACCTCGTGTATATTAAAGATATATATATATACTAGTTCAAGCTAGCCTAAGACATTTAAAACTTATGTTAAATAAAGGTTAAAATGGACTTTGTTAGCTTTCTATTGCCCCTGTATAGATGGCATTTTTGTAAACCGGGAACCTTAATCTGTTACATGGACGACTAAGATAAGCGTAAACAGGAAATATTTTGGAATAATAATAATAAAAAAAGGCTCCAGCTTTTAAGAATATTGTAAAGATTATATAAAAAAATGAGAAAAATTGCAAATAAAGGGCCATAGCTCTGAAACGAATTTTCCGATCAACCTGAACTTAAATTTCAACAGAGGCAGATCATAATGTATTGATCAATTTTACTCTCTGCTAGATTTTGATATCTGTAGAATTTTTTTGAGTTATTTGAAAAAAGGTGCCATAACCCAACTTTAACTATATAATGATATCGAGATAACGACATAATTATATCGAGTAAATGATATAATTATATCAAGATAACGATATATATATATATATATCGATATAACGATATATATATATATCGATATAACGATATAAATATCGAGATAACGATTTAATTATATCGAAATAACGATATATATATATATTGAGATAACGAAATAAATATATTGAGATAACGATATAATTATATCGAGATAACGAAATAAATATATCGATATAACGATATAAATATCGAGATAACGAGATAAATATATCGAGATAACGATTTAATTATATCGAAATAACGATAAATATATATTGAGATAACGAAATAAATATATGGAGATAACGACATAATTATTTCGAGATAACGAAATAAATATATCGATATAACGATATAAATATCGAGATAACGAGATAAATATATCGAGATAACGATTTAATTTTATCGAAATAACGATATATATATTGAGATAATGATATAATATTATTTTTTTGTAGGTCCCCGCTGGGCTTCCGTATGATTAGATAAAAATAATCAACAGGTATATATAATTTCACTAAATATCTGCGATTTATTCTTACGGTTATTTTTTTTTAATGCAAGTGAAAGAAAAGGTGTAGTTATAAAGAAATATTTATATAAAGAGTTTGTTCTTGAATGTGTATGTCCTGGGATTTTTTATAATCTTAGATTGCTTTTTAAGGATGTTCGCTCCTCTTGTTTTTGAATTTTTGCCCGATATTCGGAATCCTCTGGTTTTATCCATGTAGTGCCATTAAAAATTTTGCCCACTAACCCCTACTTTTCTTTCCAAAATTTGATTACATATAGTTTAAAATGTCATCATTGAAAATGTTATAAAATCCTTGTTATTTTTTCATCATTTTTTAAAGAAAAAAGGTGCTAATGTTAAATGTATGAAAAATCTAGAGAGAATTATTTCCCGCCAAATTTTCAATGGTTTATATCTCGAAAACAAGCACACGGACCCTTCATTTTTTTCAGCTTTTTTAGTTTCTTTATTTATATACTATTAATCTATAACAGTCTTTTAAAAAGCTTGTTATTTTGAAACAGAGTAGCACACATCCTTAAGTTCAGACTGGATTGATAAGTGTGACCTATGCTTTATTAGTTTTTCCGCGATTAATTACCTTCTTGGAGAATTCGGTTACCATTCCATTTACGTTTTAGACCTTTTTTAAGTAAGTTTATCAAACGTCAGAATTTTGTTTCGTTATGTTTCTTTTCGATTTCGTTTCTCATTTTAGTAAAAAAAAAACCTTTTCTTCATGTATGCATTTAGACGATTTGCCATCCTTGTTTGTTTTAATAGTTCATCTAATCCATTGCCTCAAAAACTTCTTTAAATACTTCCGAACATTTTTTTTTATAAAAGAAAGTTCGGGTCCATACAACCCGTATAACCCTGTTCAACAATCTGCTACCATTTGCAAAGTGCATGTAACAAATCAGCCAGTCATCATCAATACGATATTCAGACTATCTAATTAAAATATCTCTTATTCAGTCATGTTTGTAAGCGGGTTACGAAAGATCTTAATTTTAATCTGATTGATATTCAAATACATTTGTAACATGACCAGTGAAAATTATTCTAAAATATACTGGTACATATACGTACCTTGATTTCCAGTTTTTTTTATTCCCGATTTTGTAAAGTTTTGCAAACATCAGGGATTCGTTTACTTACCGTTTCTTCGTCTATTCCAAATTTCAACATGATGAACTGAGAAGGAAGATCCGAGGTCTACCCACCAATATGGATTCCTTTGATTACCCGTATGAAAAAATGTAGAGAGATCGCCGTCATTACCAGCTCTGGCTCGGAAACGCTTATAATTTGAACTTTGACCTGTCATTTTCTTGAAAGACACATCTTCCAAACACATATCATGTGGAAGCGGATCTAAGAAAAAAGAATAAAAAGTCGTTGGACTGCCCCGCTTTATCTATTAATATACAATTCGTCATGACTAAATTGTTCAGAAAAGAAAAAAATGTGTGCAAAGTTAATATACGTTTTAAAAAGCAATTTAAAACCAATGTTTTAATGATTAATCAAAATCAAACTTTATTTCTATTTTTAGAACCAGGAAACAACCCGACAATACAAATCTTAAAAAAAAAGAAATGCAATCGTGAACCTAAATGCCTCTTTGGCATGAAAGATCAGATAGTTGTTGATACAAGATACTTGGTTTTATCTCATTTTTCTTGTATGGAAACTGACATGGATTATACATTTCTCTATCTCAACCCCTCTCTCTTTCGAAAGATAACATTACAACATGCAGGAGTCACTTTTGTGGCTAAAGTGGAAATGTAAATGTGAACAAATTTAATGAAATTAATCATGATTATTTGTTTTCGTAGCCAGTTTGAAAATAGTTCAAAAGCTGTATTCTTTTTTGATAATCCCGAGCTAAAACTGTTTTTGAAAACCAATCAAATTGGTTTAAATGGTTTGATCATTGGCTATCATAGTCAAGATACTTTTCATCTCAATTAATCTATACCACAGGCAACTCCAATCCAGCTTTTGAAGTGAAACAGTTTGAAACCTCAACGTTATACTTGTACAAACAAATCTAACCTTTTCATATTTAGCTTGTCCTTTTGTAAAAGGCAAGGTTTGATAAGTGTCATTTTTGGCCTCCTCTGGTTGTCTAGCAACGGGTTTCATAGAATTCACTGAATAGCCAACTCAGATGCATTGGCTCTAGGAAAAGGCCTCTGAATCGATTAAAATGTGTTACCAAACACATCAACATATATTACGGGTGAATTATTAAATTATTAAATTATTAAATCATTAAATCCAGGGTTGGGATCCCGCTAACATGTTTAACCCCGTACCATTCTGTATTATGTGCCTGTCCCAAGTCAGGAGCCTGTAATTCAGTGGTTGTCGTCTGTTGCTGTGTTACATATTTGTTTTTTGTTCATTTTTTGTACATAAATTAGGCCGTTAGTTTTCTCTTTGAATTGTTTAACATTTGTCATTTCGGGGCCTTTTATAGCTGACTATGCGGTATGGGCTTTGCTCATTGTTGAAGGCCGTACGGTGACCTACAGTTGTTAATTTCTGTGTCATTTTGTTTCTTTTGAAGACCTGTCTCATTGGCAATCATACCACATCTTCTTTCAATTTATATATAAAAAAAATAGATATTTTTATTCAACATTGATTGAGCATAAAACTTATAGAAATGTAATTTGAATTTAAGAACAACTATTTCATATTTAATTTCGCAGCCGAAGTCCGTTGTCATAAGTTCTTGCGTAACAAAAGGGAAATAAGCAATTCGGAATGTCAGACATTTTATTTAAGGTAGATTCACTGTATACCGCAATCAGCACAATCGGTCTTGTTATTTGCCTAAATCTGCAGATTTCCAATTTATGTTAAAGAATGTTTATTTGTATGAAGACAAATAGGTGATTTATTGCATAATACAAAATGTTTGTGTTTTAGGATCAATTTTTCTACTTAGCCATTTAAGGAAAGATAGCTCTGATAGACCAGACTCAAGCTGGCTGCCACTTTTAGCAGCCAATCAAGATAGCAGCCACTTTTTTCCAGCAGCCAATTTTCATGATATGCCTAAAAACCAAAAAACTGTATAAGACTCACACGTTCCAAAAATCTCAAAATCTTAGTTAGATATAATTTAACCGCGGAATTCGACAATTTCACGGCTTGTGGTGATTCTCAAAGGATTTCAGTCCGTTTTAAATACCAATAATGATAGCAGCCACTTTTTTTCGGAGGACACCGTTTGTTTAATAAAAAGTTGTACAATGTACAATTTAAAATAGTTTTCAGTTTTGTTCTTTTTTTTATCGTTTCTGGTTCCTTATGATAAGGAAGTACAGTAACAATGTAGGAATAGAAAATTAAAAAAAAATAAAAGTACAATTACCATTGTTAATAATAGATTTAAGTAACTTGTGAGGAATCGTGTTATATATATAATTCCAACCAATTTGGACTGAATAAAATAGAGGCAATGCAAGATAGAAAAATCACATACATGCTTTCCATACACTCGGCATCCTCAAATATCCAGTATTTTAGTTGAAACCATTTTTAATATCTATTTCTGTATATATGAAATGAAAACATTTCGATATACATGTAATGGTTATCTCTTTTTTAATGTGAACAAGTATTTTCATAAAAATCCTACGTGGACTATTTTGTACGGCATGCATCATTACCAATTCATCGATTTAAAACTGAAATTTGCCTTAGTATGGAAAATACGTTAAGGGGCAACTTTGAACCTCTGTGGTGGCCAGACAGGACCGGATCCCAGAAAAATATTTAAGTTGCGAATAGCCTCGGTCAACACCTTTGAAATGAGCTAGGTCTGGTTCGAAACTTTGCCGTAGGGAGTTGCCGAGGAGTACCGAATGCTTGTACAGAGGTTCAAAGTTGCCCCTTAACGTATTTTCCATACCAACCATACATTCGGTACTCATCGGTATATCCCTACGGCAAAGTTCCGAACCAGACCTAGCTCATTTCAAAGGTATTGACCCAGAATATTCCCCGCTTAAATATTTTTCTTGGATCCGGGCCCGTCTGGCCAACCATACTGAACTATTAGTTCGGTCAAGAAAGACAACTCGTTCTCAAAATAGGGAGGTAACTCAATTTTCTTATAAAGGGAAACGAGTTTATCAGTATGTCCGAGCATGGAAGTATTATATTGACAGGAACTCCAACAAGCGGACTTCAAACGTTTATAGTGCGATGCCGCAAAATCGTAAAGTATCTGTTAATTAACTCGACATGTCATATGGATGCATGGGTTCCGATCAAATTTTTGGAACCTCGTGATTGATCGTAATTACGGAACATACCGAAATAACCGGATGTGTACTTAATTGTCAAGGAAATGACATTTACCGACTAAATGTCAACAAATATGTCAGTTTTTACGGGTTTTGCTGCGTAAAAACAAATAAAAAGAAAGAAACGAAATCCCCGCGACTGTTTTCACCAAAAATAACTGAAGAGTAAAAATACTCACAAGCCATAAACATTTCAGTTTAAGTTACAATCAATTTAAATAGTAAGATTTTTTTATTCATGAGAGGGCCGTTGGCTAAACACGCATTTATTATAACTGTTATATACATGCTAGGCTTGAAAATCATAAAATTCTTATTAAAAGTAAACGGAAAAGTTTTTATCAGCAATTATTATCGCGTTTTACTGCTAACTTTGACAAATATTTTAATTTAGTGTCTACTGAAAGAATTCCCAACAAAACTTTAATTCAAAAGTTGGTTCATAGCGGCGGGGGGCGAGGGAGGTTAAAGCTAGGGCTTTGATCGGAAAAAATATCAAATATTTTGAATAATTGTTTACCGAAAGTCCAATGGCAAATATTTCATGCAATTCAACAAGAAACAAAAACATAAATTGCTTAACATACGGTGTAAGATGTTTCAGAACTGTTAAGCATTTACACACATAAATAAATTCAAACTTGGTTCCCATGATAAAATTTTAAGAATAAAAAAAATATTATACTGCTTAGGGCCCATCGTGGTGATCGTTCTTTAAATGCATCTAGAAATATTTAAAGCCATTCGTAAAAAAAAAATCTGTCAGACGTCAGAGTAATCTCGGACTAGGTTGAATGTTTAAGGTTGTTTATAACTTTGGAATTATTATAAAAGGTGTAACAATTCATCCGTCTCGTAAGCTGATAATGCTATGTAGAGGTCATCATGTGCGTGTGATTATTAACCTCTTTTAGTCTTTAAAACATATTTGATAAATACGTTAATATCACTTTTCTACATTGAGACGAAAGAGAAAACCATAAATATTCTTGTAACATTCGATTAAAATTTACAACCTTTAACTTAAATTTGAGCTATCCTTCGCCATCTTACACACTACACGCGCATCACATTGTTTTCCGCAAACACCCGACTTTAGGTACATGTAATTTCTAATATCGGATATTTCCCGATTTCCAAGTTCCAATGATTAAAACATATTAAACAAAACTAAAAATTAGCTTGCCCTCTTTCCGAATGCAGTTAATTTTCTTATGTCATTCTGTTAAATATGGACCGATTTTTTAGATCTTTTCAGCTTTTGCCTTCATTTATTGAACGGAAACAGGTGTCGTTATTCATGTGGCGATTCACAAATAACCACGGGAGTTTCCGTGTTTATTTACATTGGTAGGTAGATAAGACACTCGATACCAATTCACGTGATAAGACCAGCTTCAGTTAACAAAACAGACGAAGGCGGCATCGCAGATACCCCACAGAGGAGTTATCACGTTCTTGACAAACTGAGTCGGAACCTTTTATTTTCTTAAAGAAATCAGTTGGATGGGAATGTGCTAATTTTTCGTTGGAGTTCCTGTCAATATAATACTTCCATGGTCCGAGGAACATATTGATTTTTGCACGCCAACTTGTGTACATAAATAATTGAATATCGGATCACAACAGGTTTTGGATGTTTGATGATCGATATCCACGCTTAATTCCAATAGTATAATAATTTGTAATCTTAATAGGAAACCGAGTTTAGAATCAAATTAGAATTATTACGGTTTATATATAATAATTTCAATTCGTTTTTATTATACGAGATGCGTATTTATAGTCAAAAATTCTTTCTTAATCTTTGAACATTTTTCTAAACATGCAAATTCTGTTAAGAAAAATAGAAGTATTTGATTTTATAAGACAAAAAAAAAAAAAAAAACAGAGAAACGAAAAAAAAAAAAAAATCTGCCCACCTAAAATATTGAATTTTGCCATGTCTGGTTGAATGACTATATATATTTTGATTCTCATACAGACAATGCATTACATCGGTACAGAGAACAATTATAAACTCACATTAACTCAATTTAACTATTA